TCTCATTGAAACACACCCCCCACACTGAGTGCCCAGGGTCTGAGCAGGGCTCAGCCCTGTCCCCAAGGAGTCCATGAACAACAGGCCGGTGACCAGCTGCAAGGAAGAGCCTGTAATTCAGGACCAAGGGGGCAGGGGAAGGGTCTGAGCAGTGGTAGTACCTCCTGCAGGGAAGCCGGGAGGGCAGCTGAGATTCCAGAGCCAAGGTCATTCTTAAAGAGACGACAGCCTGAGCAGAAGTGGGTAAGCAGCAAAACTGGCCACATTTACAAGATGAGTGCCTGAGACCAGAACACAGGCTTGTGGGAGGATGCGGAAGGCACTGAGGCCCAGGAGCCAGGAGTCGGCCTTTGCCTAGAGGACGTCCACATCCACTGAGCGAGGAGCAGCTGAGTCCAAGCCAAACCAGAAAAGGTTCTCGGGAAGACCCGTCCAGTAAAGAGTGGGCAGAAGGGGAGGAAGCAGAGGCCGGAGGGACCCTGGGGTGGTCCTAGCAGGATCTGAGCTAGGATGGGGCAGCAGAAACAGGAGAGAGAACTTGTGGTGAAAGGACAGGTAAGGCCAAGCCTCAGTCTGAAAATGAGATAAGGGCAGAAAGCACCTTGCATTTCCGCAGTACATTTGTCAAAACTAAGAAACCAGCTAGCAACTGATCTCCAGCTTTTCCTAGGACTTTGCTCGTTTTCCTGACATCTCGTTTGCAGCCCAAGATCCAGGTGCACTTGGCCTCATTCCTCCTCAGGCTTCTCTGGGCTGAGATGCTTCCTCAGTCTGCCTGTTTTCCTTGGCCTTGACTGTTTTGAGACATCCTGGTCAGGTTTTTGTCACAAATCCCTCACTTTAGGTTTGTCTGATGCTTTTCTCCTGACTAGACTGGGATTTTGCAGAAAAATACCACAGAGGGGAAGTGCACCCCCCACATACACACCCCCACCCCCCCGTCACCTCACGTGGGGTCAGGGCACATCAACACCAGTTTCACCGGGTGACAGGAATCTGGTCTCCTAGCAAGATGGTGATGGCATAAACAAGCCATTCACCTGGCCTTTTCCAACCCTTCTCGGGGGACTTCCTTCTGCATCCATCCAGCTCCTGGGGCCATGAGCCTGGGGTGCTCAGGGCAACAAGCAGGGTCCCAGTTGCCCCAGGACCAGGCTAGAGCTCTGATGGGTCTCAGGCAGAACATGAGCGGCTCCATTCCATGGGAACTGGGGGCCCCAGAGAGCAGCTCTGGTCCAGGAGAAATCTGGGGGAGGCCTGACGTCCCCCAAGAAAGCCTGGATTTGCTAAAACCCGTTGACGTCTGGGACTCTGACCTTTCCCTGTGAACATGCACCTGCTCTACCCCCACACGGTCTCTGCGAGTTGAAGAGGGTGTTTCCATCTCGCCCCCTCTCTGCTTTGCTTCCCTCTTTTCCTTCCTGGCTCCGTCTTACTCCTTCAAATGGTTATTAGGAAACTATTTTTTTTTTCTTCATTTTTCATTTTTTTTTTTTTTTTTTTTTTTTTTTTTGGTCTCACTCATAGCAGGAATCTAGAAAACTTAAATAAGGGACCAGGAAAAGAATAACTATAAGAAAGTGAAAATCAAAATCAACAAAAAACTACGAACCAGAGACACTTTTAGGGGGGCGGGGGTGGGAGGGGAGGGATTGGGGTCAGAATGGGGGGGCTGCAATTGTATGGGGAATATAAAAATAAAATTTATTATTAAAAAAAAAATGGTTATTAGGAAACTAGAAGCGATTTTTAATTATTGGCTGTCCCGGTACCAGCGTTCTCGCCACTCTCCTCCATTTGCAAAGCGGAGGGCTGGGATCCCCCCACTTCCTCCCCCAAAAGGAGGAACTCGAGCTTCTCTGCACATTCAGGGCTGTCAGCGCCAGGGACAGCTCTTCCAACACGGGGTCTAGCCAGGGTCAGGGTTGTGGCTCTGGGGACACTGATCACCGCCTCTGCACAAGAGCCTCAGGCAGGAAAAGGTGCGTGGAGGGCCCCTCTGTGTCTGAGTTTATCTGGGGAGAAAATCCGAGGTGTCGTCACATCCCAACTCCCAACACTGGGTAGGATGTAAAAGCTCTCGTCCTATACCTCGTCCTGCAGACGTGAGCTCCGGGACCTGTTGATGAGGACAGGCTCATGCAAGGTCGCTGAGGACGTCAGTGATGCGGGCTTTGGCCACCAGTGATCCCCACAGGGTGTCACACTGTCTCCCAGAGAGAAGTGCTACCTCCTCACAGCGCTGTTTACCAGGTTAGGATATAAAAATGCCATGCAGGTGCTCTTCCTGCACACACAGGACCACGCACAGTTTCTGATTTAATCACAACGCAGCTCAAAGTTTAACCAAATGATACAAAGGCCCAGGCTGGAACCAGCCCACACTGGACATCACTCCCAGCCCCTCCCTGGCCCGCGTACTGAGCACACAGCCCAAGTCCAGACAGGCTCTCAGATGTGAGCCTGGAATCCATAAGATAAACCTTACACTTCGGGATCATTGTTGAGTAACACGACTGCTATTGATGTGGGAATGCAAACTGTGCGGCTGCAGGGTTTGGGACCTGGGAAGGAAGGGGCTGGCAGCCCACTGACTGTGCTTCACACCAGGCGGCCCACCGCGGTGCTGGAACCAGGAGCTGGGCTGGCTCCATCCACCAGCTGCAGAGGAGGTGGCCTCCCGCCAGGCCGTGGCACCAGCGCTCCGAGTCCTACAGGCAGCGGAGGCCAGGATGTTCTCTCTCTAGAAGGCCAGCATATCTGTCTGTTGCCCCAGAAGCCTTTCCTACTTCTGCATTTGCCCAAATATGACGGAAGCTCGGGACACTGGTAAAGACCGAGAGTCTGACAGTTGTGTGGGCAGACTGAATCCAAGAGGTGGTAGATCTGGAAAAAGACCACAAGCCAGAACAGAGATTCCACCACCCCCCACCCAGCCGGGAGGGCTTACAGCCACCTCCGGTGACACACTGCACCTGCCCATCACAGAAAACGCAGCAGTGACAGTGGCATTGCTGAATGTCTCCACCCACAGGGCTGGCTGTGACTGTCTGCCTTATCCTCCGGGGAGCTTGCCCACAGTCATCCGGGGAAGACAGCCACTCAGACCTCATTACGGGAGAAACTCTGGATGCAGGTGGTCTCAGCTGACCACAGGCGCCCGGCCTCTGTGTCTAGGCAGTGAACACTGGATGCTGAGTCTGGCTGGACCAGGACCCAGGATCACTGCTTTGTACTTCAGGCCCCAACAGACAGCTAAGTCAACACACTGTTCTTTCAAAATGTAGATTCTCATACAAAAATTCCAAAGGCTCTCCATTACCATGACAAATCACCTACTTTTTCAGCCGGGATAGGGTTTGCTCCCCTCACTTATGCCGTATTACAAACACCCCAGGCTTTCCTCCTGTGTCCTCTGCCAAGAACTATCTTCCGCTACCACCACCACCCCCCTTTGCTGATTGCTGAGCTCTCCCTGGTCTCCAAACCCATCAGACATTCCCTCCAGGAAGGCTTTGTCACCTCCTGATCAGTAATTATCATTCTCTCTCGAAACTCCTGAAGAATTTCTTCCATATCTCTCTTTGGACTCTGATAGTCAATAAACATCAAACTGTGTTAACCTCAGCAATGTCCCTAATTAGGAATTAAGCTCCTGCTTCCAGCCACATAGAAAGCAAAACAGAATGCTCTAAGGCCTCAAGACTGTGGGGCTAAAAAGACTTTAGCGCCATCCTATTCACAGGCTTATAATTCAGCTTCGTTTTTGCTCTTAATAAAAAGCATTTGCAATGCTGCGAATGTTCCTCTGGGCCTGTAAACATTTCTACTCCAAACACATCAGCTGCAACGCGTTGGAGCCCTACTCCATGAGAGAGCGAGAAGGCCAGCTCTGCTGGGAGCCAGCAGCCTGGGGTGGGAGCAGAGACCCCACTCCAAGCAAGCTGCCCAGTGCCTGGGTGGGCATGGGCGAGTCCCAGGCAAAATCAAAGGAGTACAACATGAGGGGGAGGGTGGGGGTTTCTGTTCTTTTTAGAAGATCCCCAATGTTACATATAAAGCCTCATGAAATATTTCACAGCTCAAAGCAAGAAGTGGAGAGCATGGAGATGTTTGGACCTTCACTGCTACCATGGCCCAGAGCAATTCACACCTCCAGCAGGCAACGCCAGCTGAGCAGGGTAAGACTTGGATGACTTTCCCCTCCTTGCTGCCTGGGGGGAGGGGGGGCCATTAAATTTAAAACATAATGGTTTTACACAGAGGGAAGTTTACCCAAGCCACACATGAAAAGCAGAATCTGACTTCATAGTCACACCTCTATACTCCATGGTGAAGGGCCAGACACCAGCCATCGGGAAAAGCAGGGAGGAACAGCTAGCAAATCCACAAAGTTGCACTGATCTGTCCCAGCAGTCTTTTGGCAGTTTTAAAAGCACCTACCTTTTCTGAAGAATCTGGTGTCTTAGATACTTCATCATGAGGATGCGGTTGGACTCAACGTTCTTCTGCACAGCAGGAACCGTCGATTCATAGGTGGGAAATCATTCACTGTTGGTGGGTTTGACCCATAAACCAAAGACACAGGCATGGCAGACATGCCCCCGGCTCCTCCCTGCTCTGACCTTGCGGTATTGAGGCTTCACCCCGAGGTGTACATCAAGTGGTGCCAAATCCATCCAGTATGCAATCTCCAGCAGGAGTCCCTGCTTTACATGAAAACTGCAGTATGAATCACAGATGTGGCGGGAGTATTTCTGAAGAAGAAAAATGTCTCCCTGCAGAGTTGGGATGATTTAATAGTCGGATAAATGGTCTCCCTCAAATGGAGCAGTCACCTGATAGCGGAAAGGTTATGAATCCAATAAAGCCTTAAATACATTCTAGATTAACACATCACAGAGGGATAAATCAGCCAGCAGATGTTTATCACTCCACGCAGCATCTAAACGGGTCTTTACTCCACTGGCATGTAAGCTCCATGAGGGCAGGGATGTGGTTCAGTTCTCTGCTGTCTCCACTATCCTAAGAGAAATGAATCGAATGATCAGTCAATTAATTACACTTTAAGGACTAAGGAGAGTATCACCCTAGGGGGTCCCCAGATGCTGTAGGAAATTTGAGACCCACAAAATACATGGAGTGCACTGTGTTGAAAGAGAGCAGAAGACTTGTCTGTTCCCAGTACCTTAACCACGTTCCAGGTGGAAATTGTGGATAGTCAAGTCACCCATCACCGCTTCCCCTAACACTTAATCCCATATTCCCAATCTTGGGTTGGGCAGGGAATGACAGAGATGGTCAGAATCCCACTCGTGGCAGCAACATCTTAAACCCATGCCTGTGACGTGATGATGGAAGCCCAGGTGTGTCTCCAGCCCGGCCAAAGAGGAGGGACTGGCAGAGAAGTACAGGGTCCAGCCACCCACAGGATTGGATCATCCAGCCAAACCCCAAGGCAGGGACATGTGTCCCTTTACATCCTGCTCTCCCCCCCACCCATGTGTTTCACCACAGGGAAACACAGAAGCCTGGAGGGAGGGTCTCAGATGCTGAGCAGGAACAGAGTGTGGAGCAAAACAAAGAAAGGCGGGCCTCCCTGGTGGCGCAGGCGGTTGAGCACCGCACTGCAGTGCGGGTTCAATCCTGGCCGGCCGGCGAGAATCCCACATGGCGCGGCAGACCTCTCCTGTCTCCCCGCTGCTCCCCTCAGCAGTGTATTTCAGTCAGTCTGCCTGTTCTGCTCCCCACTCTGTCTCTGATGAATCCTCTCACCCTCTCATGCATCTGGCCTGTACCCCAGTTCTTGTATAAATAAATAAATCTTAAAGAAAAAAACACAAAGCCATCTGGGAAAGCTGGCAAGGACCAGGTTTTACAGGCCTTGGACACAGGAAGAAGGAAAGGAAGAAGCATTTTAAAGCTACACATGGTTAAGACAGACAGACTCTGGATCAAGTCGACCTAGGTTAGAATTCAAGTTTTATAGATTAACAGTCATGGGGGAGATTGGGCAAGTTCAACTGGTTGAATCTCAGTTTCCATGTCTGCAAAATAGAGCTGAGGCTAGGACTGCCCTCGGCAGCTCTGCAGAGCTCACTGGACAGTGCTGAGCCCACGCCCTGTCTCTAAACTGCAGCTCTTCAGTTGGTGGTAGCTTGGGATCCGTAGTGCAGGTGCTCGTGCCCCTTGGCTCAGCCCCTTCGCATTTTATTCCCTTCCTGGCAGACACCCTACCTGTATCACAGTCTCCCTGGCCGTGATCAGCCCATCCCCGATGCCTCTGCTCTGTGAAGCTGCCCTGGTCAGCAGGCCTGGTGTGGCCTCTGCTTGCACCATAGAAATTGGTTTTCTCCTTAAGTCTCAAAAGTGTTGTGGTCAGAAAAAGTGGCTCACACCGCAGAGCCTCCACAGGTAAAGTCACCCCAGGTGCGAGTCTCTCTGACCAAATCCAGGCCAATTTCTGTGAGAAAACTAGACTCAAGTTCTTTCTGTCCATCAGGGCCAAAAGTGGGCCTGCTTTGGCCTAGTGGTCTTGGGTGACACCCCAGACCAGAAACCGGGCAGTCACAGAGGACCAGGCTTTGTGCGGGCAGGAGAAGAGGCTGTGGGAGGGCCCCCGCCACTCCAGTCCAGGGCAGCAGTGCCAAATCCCAGGCAGGAACAGCCCCTGATTCGGGGAACCAGGCCCCAGAAGACTCTTAGGGCCAGTGCAGGCCCCTCCTGGGGCCAGCCAGCCTCACCAAACTCAACCCCGATGCTAGTTAGAGGTGCAGCTCCACGGGGGTGTATTCTCAGAGCACAGCCAGGGGGCTGTGAGCAAGCCACTCCTGACCCACACAGCTACCCCCACTCACCACACTTCCACCCCCCAGGAAAGCACACCCGGTGTATGCACAATGATCTTTCTGCCCCTGCAGGTCGCCGACACCAGCTCACCCACCCACAAGCTGCCCTCTTCTCCTAGCCAGACCCTGGCGTGGGCAGCAGCCCCTCGAGAGGCGAGAGCCTGGGCACCAGCTGCTCTGGCACGTCCCACAGGCCATGCCCTGTGTACCAGGCAGGAGGACAGAGTAAGATGGAGCTGCCCGTCCCCCTTGCAACCACAGGTGGATTTGGACCAACCCAAGCAGCCAAACAAAGCTGTGGCAGAAGGGACAGCAGGTGCCGGGGACAGGGAGAAGACCAGAAAATGCCACCATAGTGGAGCAGGGACAAGCTGAGCTCCGCCCCAGAAGTGGGGTCAATTCCCCCGTGGACCACAGCACCCTCCGTCACTCGGAGGCCACCCCAGCACCTGCCCGCTGGCCTCAGAGATGGGGCCAAAACACCCTGAGCTTGAACTGACCAACCAACTAAAACACTCTGTTGTCCCCCTAAAATGGAAGTGCCCGAGACAGAAGGTCAATGAAGAGGAGACTCAGACTGGGCCCCGGTTCTAACTCTGCAGCTGTGTGGCCTCAGGCAAGCCACCTGGCCTCTCGGGTTCGTCCTTCCCTGCCTATTAGTGGTAACGTCCTACATCTATTTTTACAATTTGTACATCACAATGGGCTTTACGTAGACTAACTTAATTACATCCTCATAAAACCCTGTGAACTAGAATTGACTCCCCATGTTCCAGAGGAGGAAGAGTGGCATCAGGGGAGTCACCTTTGCTCAAGTAAGGGGTGGTGCCTGGGTTGGAACCGGATCCCCCAAATGGGCCCTGCACTCCCCGTTCTGCCCACATTTCTTGTCGAGTCTGCCCCAAACTTTCTATCACCCACGGGAGCTTTGTCCTTTGTGACATAAATGTCTGGTTTCCCGAGTCATGAGTTTCTTCGGCCTGGTCCCTCTGGGGCTACAGGAAGGACAAGCCTCCTGCTCCAGGTACCTTCACTGTTCACCCTTCAGAGTCCCCCAGATAGAACTTTCTCTTCTGTCCCTGCCCTGCCAGTCCAACAACAGATGCTCAGAGACAACAGTGAGGAGGAGCCTCTGGGTCAGGGGCAAGGGCGTGGGGTCAGGCTGGGCAGGGAGACTGAGGGTTTCATAGACACAGATCAACTTTACAGAAAAAGTGGGGGCAGGCGGCACAAGTGCATGAGCAATGCCAAGAGGCCACGGCCGACGGCACCAGCAGCAGAGCACTTGGGCCGCTGTCCTCAGAGAGGCTGACGGAACAGCACAGCTGTGTCCAGGAGTGGCCGACCACACCTGGCTCGAGGCAGGCAGCACTGACTCAGAGGGGGGCCTGAGGGGCCAACCTGGCCCAGCTCTCAGCACATCTGACTCACCGTCTCCCGTCTGAGCCACTGTACGCCATCCTTCTCCCAGAAACAACATCCATCTTTTTTTTAAACTGGCAGAGGAGCTTATTCATGTTCTTGGGACTGTAAGCTGAGCATCGAATTTTCCACAACTTTTCCTAGTAAGTATGCCTGGTGGGAAAGTGAAAAACAAGTTCATTTTAGGGCCTGAACATGTTCATGACTCTTGAACTTGGCTTCTCCCAAGGCTATTCACCTGTGGAAAGCTCAAAGCGAGATGTTTCAGAGGTCAGAGGCCCGGGTGAGCGCCGGGTCAGGTGACCAATCCTCTCCCATGAGCACCTAACATGCCCCAGCTGCTGTTCCCACCACGGCTCTACTCAACAACCTTGCAAAGTCAGAGTTATCATGGCTACTCTGTCGTCATGGAAACTGAGGTGTGGAGAGGCTAGGCAACTGGCCCAATGACAGGAGCCAGCATTCAGGTTCAGGTTCTGAAGTTTACACCCATGGACTAAATCACGTGGCCTCGCTGCTTTCAGTCCTAGCGCGTCCAGGTAGAGAGCAGCCCGACTCCTGCAGTTCATGGACCTGTGCTGAGCCTGCCCAGGTGTCTCCTTAACAGAGGCCCCTCCTCCTCAATCCCATTCCCCAGGCTGCCTGATCCCTCCCCACCCCTGAGGCCTAAGCCCCTGGGGCTGTGTCTACTGGAGAAAAGCAGAAGAGGAAGAAGCGTGGGTCCTCCTGGGCTATCCCTGGCCTGTGCCAACCTGTGCAAGGCTCCATTCCTTAGAATCCACCCGGGGAGAAGAGCCAAGCCTTGTAGGTGAAGTCTCTTGCAGATACACAATGGTCCTTGGGGACATGCTTGCTCTCCTGCAGATGGGCACACCAACGCGCCAGGCGGGCACTGTGGAGGGCCATGCAGACGTCCTGCTTGCCCCTCTGGGTGCACCCTCCACCTTGCCCTGGGCCCTGGAGATTGGCCTTGGGCTGCAAAAATCAACTCCCTTGCCCTCCAGCTACCTGTAGCTGGATTTGCTAGTGGAAGGTGCTAGAACTGGAGCAGAGGGTGAGGGGTGTGTACGATGAGGATGTTTATTACTACCCCCATCATCATAGCATCTTCCACCGGTGCCCCCACCCATCTTGGGCTGCCCTCTCCCCAGCTGTGCTCACCCTAGAGCTAAGCTGCCGCTCCACCCCTGCCTAACCCCCCCCCAACCTGGCTCCCCACCGCTGCTTGCTCTAGGGGCTGCCTTGTCCATTTCGGGGCCTTGTCCTCCTCACACCCTTCATTAGACTCTCCTTGGTTTCCTCCACCTGTTTCCTGACAAGTCCCCAAACGCACTCAGAGCCCCTTAGTGTGAGTAAGTGAAGTGTGGGGTGGGTGAGGGCTCTCTCTATGCCTGTGCTTTGATTTCTATCATCATCAAAGTCTGGGCATTTTACACACAGCTCTGAGTGCATTTGCTGCTCATTTAAATTATTGAACACAATCTGGAAGTCCCCACCTTCCTGCTGGTCACAGCCTCAATCCCCGGGCAGAAAATTCCTAGAGGACTAAAGAGCCTATCTCTCTCCAGCAGACCTGGCGTCCTTCCAGCCTGCAGGGCTTATTCCTGGGGGGGAACAACCAAGACCCACGTCTTACTCTCAAGCAGCTCACAGAAAACAGAGTGCATGGGGTTCTGTGTCTACCCGCGGGAAGTAGCTCTTCACAATGGAAATATGGAGAAGAGAAGGAACAAGGAAGGAAGGAAGGCAGGAGAAAGGAAGGCCTCTGGCTGTCCCGCGCCTGCCCCGCGCAGGGGCACATTCAGAGCTCCTGCGAGAGGCTCTGCCCCAGGGAGCATCCCCGAGTGCAAATTCCAAGGAATATTAGCACCAGTTGAAGGAAACTCTTGCAGTGTGAGCCGCAAATGACTGCAAGGAAAGTCTGGTTCAGCTTTCAGACCTGGCACGGCCTCCCTCATGGCAGAGGGACGGTGACCATGGAAAGACAGACAGGCTTTTCCTTCCCCACTCTCCCAGCGGGACGGGCCTGAGCCGGGAAGGCTGTTTTCCCCACCTGTGGCTGAATGTTCCAGCCAAGCCAATAAACTGAAATATAGTTTTGGTTCAGATGATTCTCAAGGAGGAAAACAGCAATTTTGCCTTCAAAGGGACAGGCCCTAGAGCCAGGAAATAAGGGTTATATTTCCAGCTGCCCCAGGGGAAAGCCAGGCTTCAGGCTCCGGGGCCAAGCTCCCACCAGGTCTGGGAGGGGCTGGCGATGGCCAGGCTCGGGCAGCAGGGGCACCTGTCACCTGAGGAAGTCAGCAGGTCCCTTGCGGGCAGAACTGATGCTGCACAGAGAACGGGACCTGTCAGGAGAGGCCCCGAGCCAGGACATGGTTGTCCTGGAGCCACTGAGGGCAGAGAAAATGGGTGAAAACATCAGGGAAGGGACGGTCCATCCGTCACTGAGTCGAGGAGTGCCCCAGGGGGAGGGTATCATGTGTGGAGGATAGAAGTTGCCCCCCAAGTCAATTCTCTCCATTCAAATCTCTCCTTGACCTCAAGTTCCTGTGTGGTTTTAAGCAAGTCATCCGCCTGCCTGGGCCTCCATTGCACTCTTCCATAAAATGGGCATCGTCACATCCTGCTTATTCATAGACTCCCATGGAAGAAGGGATGAGGCCGCCTCAAGGCTTCAACAAAATCACTTTCTAGCATGTTCCAGCATAGGTGGAGCATACAGCAGGGATCCTGCTGTCACCGACATTCCTTGCACCTTCTCTGGGGAGCAGGCCAGAGCCCTCTCTTCCTACCCCAAGCGTTCCTGTTGCATCCCCGGTCCTGCCCAGGACGCCATTCCAGCTGCAAATCAGGGGCCTCAGATGGCCTGGTTCGGACCCCCGAGGATGCAATACGGCTCCCACACCCCTGACTCTCAGCCCCACCGAGACGTGACCACCGGCCGCACCGACCCTGTCCGAGTCATCACGCCTGGATCTTCCCAGGCACAACGCTCTGGAGAAAGACACTCACAGACTTGCAAGATGCATGGGAACCCGTTCTCCCCTCCACTCGGGGAAAATCTGCAAGATGCCAAAGGTTTATTTTTCTAGGATTAACACAATGACAGGGAATCAGCCGTATATATTGTTGAAGATGACGAGCCAAATATTTTCTGTAATTTCTACAATAATATGAGGAAAGCCGAAAAGGAAAAAAAAAAAAAAAAAAAGCCGGTGTTAAGCTGGTCTTGGTAGGCGCCAGCCTCCAAAAATAACAGCCATTCCGATGAATTACCAACAATGCCATTTGCAAGACAGTTGCTTGATACAAGACATGGAACATATTAACAGGCGCTTCCTGAGAAGAAGGGGTGCAGGGCGGATGCCGTGCTGACCGAAGACAGAGGGCCCCAGGGAAGAGGGGGTGCTCAGCCACAGGCTGAAAGGTCACAGGAGACGCTCCCCAAACCCACACAGGTTCCGAGCCTGAGAAGGAGGTGGCACCTGGGCCGGGCAGGGGTCAGTGGGGCAGGAATGGCTGGCTTTGGCCCCACAGGTCCTACCGCGATTTCAGTTTCAAACAACTTAAGAACTGGGTTTCTCTCTCCTGACCTGGAAAACTGAGGCGGCAATGCCACAAGACAAACACACACCAAAATCAGAAAGAGAGTCGAGTATCAGAAAGGAAGTTCAGCGGGAAGAGAAGCCAAGGGAGAAACCAGGCCCTGTGTCCTCATGTTGAGGCAGGCGGGGAAAATGCCGTCCCATCCCGCCGGGGCCTAGCATCTGGGCCTCAGCCTCCCGGGCCTCGTCACTGCTGGGGGTGGGCATGGGGCTGAGGGCAGGGAAAGGAGCGCAAGCCAGGACTCCAGAGTAGGGGTCTGCTTCTCACACATGGCCTCTGTGACCTCGTCCAGCCCCTGGCCTGGGCCAGAAGTCAACCATTCGCTGGGCCAGAATGGAGATGAAGCAGAAGTGAGAGAATTAACCAAAGGCCATGGAAAGCTGGTGTCTGAGGGTGCAGCCCCTGCCTGCCAACCCCACTCTAAGGGAGGCCACGTGGCAATGGGACGTCAGCTGTTGCAGGCCCCATGCACGGTGGGACTCAGCCTCAGTGGGTCCAGGCAGCTCCCAAGCCAGCTCAGAGGTATTATTTGTCTCTGGCCTGCAAAGGCAGGTCCTAAGCTCGTGAGAAGCCAAAAAGCAGACACAGTGTCTCGCCCAGATCCCCAAGGTCAAGGCAATCCTCCTGGAAACTAGAACCCTGGCTGACAACTGCTTGTCCAGAGCCTCAAAGAACAGAACCAGAGCTGCTGGTGGGTCCATCTGCTCAGCAGGAAAAAGAATGTTCTAGCTGCAGAGTCACCCACGTAGCAGGTGGCTGCCATCCCCACCATCTTCAGGGCACCTGGCTTATTCAACTCTGACCTCCCACTCATACACGCCTCTTTCCCTGGAGCCTTCAAGATAGGTCAGGCGTGGGGGCGGGGGAAAGAAAACTCCAAAGGAGAAGGGGGTAGGGAGGAAGAACTGATCCCTTGGGCCCACACTCAAGGAGGGAGCATGGGCTGAGGCTCAGGTTAGGGTGGCTGAGAAGCCCAGAGGGGCCATGGAAGGGGCTCCTGGCGGCCAAAGTCAAAGCGGTCAGGGAAGAAGGGGCTGCAGACCAGACGCCCAGGAGGAGGCCTGCCAGGGACCCCAGAGCCGGCCCAGCCGGCCCCTCTGCCAAGCTGTGGGAACCAAGTGAGGCGAGGAACAGAACAGACAGGCAGCACTCCAGGGACAAGCGACAAGGACCCTGGACCTCTGCTCACTGTCCTCTCCGCCCCACTATGTCCCGGCTCCCCATCCCCCTGCACTCCCCACCCTGTCTTCCTCAGAGCCCCTTGGCCCTCCAGGGTCCCCGCAAGGACAGAGCAATCGTGGGGCTCGCTTGGCTGTGTGTGGCCTCTTCTCTATGAAGTTCCATTGACTCCCCAAGCACCGCCAGTCCTGGGAGGGGTGAGATGAACGAGACCCTGCTGCCCCTCAGGAAACTCATGGTCTGTGGGGTCCTGGGAGCCGGGGAGGGGTGCAAGGGGCACTGTCCACCCCAGCCGCTCCCCACCCCCACCCCCCGCCCATAGAAGACCGTTTTCCCAGGAGCCAGGAATTTGAGGCAACCAAAAAACAAACACCAAATGTTTTACCACTGGAAATAAAACTGAAATTGTCCCTGGAACCCACTTCATCCGGAATTTCCAGGGTTGTTCAGCGCGAGTGAGTCACCCAGGACACAAAGGCTGGTGCTGAG